TAATAACTACTAGAAAAAGTGACTTAAATTTGAAAAGTCTTAAACAGATTAAATAGCACCAAAATAAATTGAACTGTTTCAATTGGTGTTGTTTGATATAGTTTGATAAGAGAAACAGTCCGTATCAATACTCAAAATAATTAAACTGACATTATCAATGATAATTTTTTTTATCCGCCGCTATAGGGTCTATATGACGTCATCTCGCTGGAAGGAATCACCGCCGGTGATTATAGCATGACGTTTTCTAAAACGTCGCAATAAGATCTACAACGGCGTTTTTTAAATGTCACAAACATATAACGACGGCCGTATCTGCGGCGTACACTAAAAACGTCACCAAAGATTTTAGCAGCGTTTTTGAGATAATTAGTGGCGTTTGCCACTAAAAGCTGTATTTTTTGTAGTGTATAAAAAAGATAATCTTAATATACTTAAAAAGTAAAAAATGTGTACAAAAATTATTAAAAAATTTATTAAATACAACAAAATAAGAAAATATATTAAATTTTCATATTTTTTTTGTATTTGATAAATTTTTTAAGTTTTTTTTTTTCATAAATAGTATTATTTTTAAGCATATTTGGATTAGGTGTAAAAAATAAAAAAAATATGTAAAATATTAAAACAATTCACTAAAAACAAAAAAATTAAAAACTCAATTTTATGACAAAAGAACTCAATTTTCTAAAACCAAACATGATTATTATTATTTTTCATCTCATATTTTAATTAAAAAAAATTAAAAACACTAAAATGTCAGTTCCCAAAGACCTGAGGCCGTGGTATAGCTCGAATGTAGGAAAAGGTATGAGCTATGAGCCCACTGCTCGGAAGCATCATGGGACTCTCCTCATTTTTCTTTTTTCATTTTCTTTTCTGAATAAGGAACTTTCATGCCTTTCAAAGTATCTCTGAAAAATAAAACCAAAACCACATGGTGGACTAGGAGAGAAGAAAAGAGAAGGGGCAACACAAACACAAAGCCACAGATACTTATGGGAGATAGAAGTGATAGATTCACAAGATTTTAAAGCATAAATGAAGCTATCAAAGAGACTTTGACAGATTCACATGAAAGTATTGAAACACAACACAAACTATGGTATCAATTGTGTTGCTACATAGTAGATAATTTCTAGTTGGGTTTGGATTCCCTTAAATTATCATCTCAACTTGAGAGAGTGTTTAAACTTTGTAGCAATGACAGATTTATGAAGTGAGTGGTGACATGTGCCCTCCTTCAATTTTGATTTTTTGTTTTTGTTTTTGTTTGTATATAGCCAAAGGAAAATAATTAACAAACAGAAAATTTATATAGAAATAACATTTATAAATGATTTTTTAATGGCATTTTTCAAATTATGAAATTAATGATGGTTGTTTTAATTGAAAATAAAGAAACTATAAAAAGCCACATTATATGTATTAATATTTTATAAAAAAAAAAAAATTCAGTGCAATAATGATAGTTAACCCACTACAAAAATGTGAAATTATTGAATTGTTAATTATATTTGACAAGTGAGATTAACTCTCCATGTATTATTTTACTATTTATTAATGATACCATATATAGATGATATGGTATTACTATTATTTATAAATTATTATATAATTTATCATAAGACATGCAAGACTTTTTTGCATTGTTTATAATACAATAGTTAAGTAAACATCATATTTTCAATTATGATCTTTTGTCACGACCCATTCCCCGTATCCAAGGGTTAAGTATCGTGATGGCCAGTAACTGAAGTTACCTCCGGTCAATTCTTGAACAAATTAATAAACGCGAGCGGAAGTAATATATAAGTGAGGCCAAAATAATCATCAGAGCTTCTATTTTTATTATAAAATTTATTGACAAAAAAGGCCGATATTTACATATAAAAATATCATAAAAGTGCTGTGTGTCTATTCCGCAGCCCTGCGTCTAAGACTTTTCAAAAGTTATTTCTGAATTGTATTGTTTCCTGAAAATTGGTAAACAACTATAGGCACATGGTAGTGTGAAAAATATTATGTCAAGAGTATAAGGGATACAAAATAACCATGGATAGTTATGTAGCTAAAATATTTAAGATATCTTAGTCTGAACAAATAATCATTTAAGTAGCAAAACTAAGATATGTAAATAAATAACCATAACCACGGTACCGAACAGAACAGAACAGGATCACAGGAATGATAGTCAGAATAGAGATACAGATTCAAGAGGTGACTCGTACGGATTATAGAGGTGGCTCCCACATCCGTGACGCCAATCGTCCTTCTTCGTCGTCCATCGCCTTCGTCTCGCAGTCAGTCACCCATTGTCCTCCTCCGTTGCTGCAGTCACAGTCACCGATCGTCCTCCTCTCCTCCGTCGTCCACTGCCTCCGTCGTCCATCGCCTCCGTCAACGACGCAGATACACAGATCTCATATTTTTTTTTGAAACAGATTTTGTGTATGTATGTATACAGATTTTTTTGTGTTGTTGAAATAGATTTTTTGTATGTGTATGTATGTATACAGATTTTGTGTTGTTGAAACAGTTGTTTTTTTTTTTTTTTTGAACGAAAACAGATTTGTTGTTAATGATCTGTTTGTGTATGTAGTTGTTGAAACAGATCTGTTTGTGTATATATGTATCCATGTATGATGATGATGTTTGTTGTTGATGATGTTGTTGATGGTGTTGTTGAATAGATTTGGGCAGGAGAATTTTCGGGATCGAGGAAACTCGATCCTCGTTAGGGGACGAGGATGGGGATGGGGACGGGGATAGGCTGCTCGTTAGGGATCGGGGCCGAGGACGGGGAGATTTTCACAATCAGGGATCGGGGACGGAGAGTGTGATCCCCGGCCTTGCCCCTTTGCCATTCCTATTTCAAGCATTCAATCTCTTCATCAAAATGGGTGATTTATAGGGTTCTTCTCACCACGAATCTCATTCTCTCCCACTGTCTCTCTCCTCTTCTCTTCTTCTTCTTCTTCTTCCTTCTCCTCTCACATTCCTCTTTCTTCTTCTTCTTCCTCCAACGAAGTTCGATGACTACTTTAGAGCATTTAGATTTGTCAAGAAATTAGTTTTACAGACCTTGCTCGGATCAACGATCTTTGGGGTCTAAATTATCTCAACTTGTCATCAAACAATTTTACAAGTGGTTTTCTTCTTCCCCTCTTTCTCTTCTCTTGTTGTGTGTGTATTTTTTTTAATTGAAATTTTGCCCCAAAACGACGTTATTTTGGGGCACCGTAAGATCCACCGCAGAGGAATGTGGCAAAGGATCTAGACTTGTAGTAGTAGTAGCTTCAGCCATTGATTTAGTTACAAAGAAAGAAGGATAAGACTAGATAGGATAGGGAAAGGATGAAGGTATTAAGCCTTCGTTTGGAATAAGTTAAAATCGAGTTTTTTGACTAAAATAGTTACAAAAAGACAAAATAGGTTTTTTAACCTAATAAGACAAAATATCGCATTCAAACCATAATTATTTCATTTTTTTTTCTCAAAAAGTCAAAAAGCCTATTTCAAATGAGGTTTTTTAACCCCAGTCTAAAATAATTAAAAAATAAAAAAACTAAAAACCAACCCACATCTCAAACGAACCCTAAAGGATTCTAAAGATACAAAATCAAAGTATATGTCAATGTTTCAGATACTAACATATCTTTCTGAAATACATTTTTATAGGAAGAAGCTTTTGTAGCTTTTTTGGCTAAAATAGCACTAAAGGACAAAAGAGATTAAAATAACCAATAAGACAAACGTCATATCAAACTCATAATTATTTTACTTTTTCTCTTACAAACATCACATTCAACTATAAAAAAATTCAATCATCTTTTCAAACACAAAAGTTTTAACTTACTACAATAGCCAAAAACTAAAATAACTTATTAAAATAATACCTTCCCAAACACTCACAGAGTGATGTTGGCCCCGTTTGGTGTAACTATTAAAACATATTATAGATTATAACTTAATAGATTATAGATTATGACTTTAATCGGAAGTTGTTAATCTGTTTGATGTAACTGTTGGATTATAGATTTAAATTGCTGAGTAATGTTTGTTAAATAAGCTGTAAAATAGTTTTTTGAATTAACTTTTATTTTTTGTTATTCACCACTTGTCTACATTTCTCATAAATAATAATAATAATAATAATAATAATAATAATAATAATAATAATAATAATAATAATAATCTATAGTCCATTTGGGTCATTTTTTATTTTTAAAAAAATAAAAAATAAAAAAATCTAAGAGTCTAACCGTAAATTAACATGTCCATAGGAGAAACTGATAATCAGAAGTAAGGGGTGAGTAGTTTCTCAGAAATAATTTTTTAAAGTTAAAATAAATTGTTAGAATAAAAAACTGTTTAAAATAAATTTAATCAAACAGTCTAAAATAACTTTTTTAAATCTAAAAATTATAAATTAGTTCAAAAATTTAAAATAAATTTAATCAAACAGTCTAAAATAACTTTTTTAAATCTAAAAATTATAAATTAGTTCAAAAAAATCAAACAAACCCCCGTTCACAAGCCACAACGAGGAATTCGTAGTCATGCGCCTTGATAACACCACCATATGTCATTTTGCTTATCGATACACATGCCATTTTTTCTAGTCATTATCAAATTTGCAATCTTTAGGTCAATTTGGAAATAACTTAAAATAGTAAAAATATCATTACAAAAAAAAAGTTAATTTTTTTCAATATTTTTATAATTATTTTTTTATAAAAAATTAAAAACTAACTAAAATAATCAATTTTTAAAATAACCCTCAATGTGCATCATCCATACAAGTGATTATCTTTCTTCTTTTTTTAAAAATTTCATCTTGTGTTTTACCAAATAGCGAAGGCCAAAATAACTACATGTCCCATAAAATATTGCATAAAAAAATTATTACTAGATGGGCGTACACAACTAAATGATCTTCCCGACCCATATAGATAGGCAAAATTATAAACTTGTTCAACTCAATGAGTTAACTTGAACCAACTCGGTGATCATTTTCTTTTGAAAACCTTAATCGTCATTATCAATTGGACTAATTGACATAAAATATAAAATTGATGATCAAAATCGAGCTAATTAAAATTACAGAGACCAAAATGATACAAGCAGAAAAATGCAGGGACTACCAATGTAATTTACCCATAAACTTAATCAACAGCAATATATATTCAAATAGTTACTAGTATTCATTAAAGTTCTTTTTCCTTTTGCTGGACAACAAAAATGAATAGACTTATCATGTAAAATTTCCAGTACAGAAACATCGTTGAGCAAAGTACAGAAATCATCCTTGTTACTGGCTTACGAGGTTAATGCTGTGGGTCCAATTTTGGTGATAAAGGTATGATCACTCAACTAATGAAAATTTATTCAATTTTTTATGGCTTTTTCCATTTGTTTCAGCAGAAAGTTAGTACTTTTGAGTGCTAAAAAATGCATCAAATACATGGTTTGAATAATTTTAGTGGATAATGTTCTTCAAAGTCCCATTTTGTTGCATTGGAGGTATATGGATACATCAAGCATGAACAGAAGCACATGTCTGTGGCAAATAAATGTCTATTTTTCTTTCTTACTTTTTTTTTGTTGTGTGTGTGTGTGTGTGAAAGTAAGTCAGTCAAAAAGGAAAGATAAGAAAATATACACCATGCAAGGGCATACCCCAGGGCAACACATCGAAGGTTGGAGACCATCTTCAAAAGAAAGATGGCAGCCATCCCCACAATGGGTTGACTAACTTAGCCAACTATAAAATTTCTTATTTCGTAGTTTTCTTCCTACAAATTATTTCAGTAGAGGTTGTTGCCTTCCAAATTACCTGAAAATGTCACAATAAGGATATCAGATATGCATTTAGTGAGCCTGCTCGTGGATATGTCACCCAACTGGTCTGTTCAACTGAAGAAAACATCATTTATTGACTTCGTACGCATATATGGGTATTAAAAAACTTACCAGCTGTTTTAGGCGCATGCCATGTTACATAGACATTTCAATTCATGAGGGTGTGAGGAAGAAGATGTTGAGCTAAGATAGGTTTTTTATGGAGGTTAGACAGTGCTAATTCATAGACAAGTATCCATATATGACACACTCCGACAAACTTGTCAGATGATGGTGACCGAATAACATGCCATTTAAATAGGATTTTTTGCACCTTTTATCATTCATCTTAGGCCTCAATAACTCAGAATATAATTGTATACTATGTGATTTGTATGAGCAGCACATGTGGCCTCTCCTAAAGGTTGGAGGAGGGTATGGGACTGAAAGAGATGTTGCAGTTGTGGCCAACTTAAGTGCCAGAGTGGGATCCATTGGGGATAATCGCTTGGGGGGATGGCACTCATATCGATCTTCTAAGGCTGCACTTAATCAGTGTATGATGGTTTGTTCTGAAGTTTCTCTAATTTAGATTTTCTATTTTTTACTATCAAAATAAAATATACTTTTTTTTATTTTTATTTTCATGGGATGTGAGGAAAATCTGCCATTAATTGACCTTCATATGGATAGCATTGTGTTTTGTTTGGTATTATTCTGACTCCAGTTTTGAAGTACCATTCAGGGTAAATTGGCACTGATTTGTTAAATTTGAATTGTGTATTTATGATAACTACATCTACTGATGCTTGCAGTGACAAAAACTGTGTCAGTGGAATTTGCACGAAAGAAAGATCCAATCATATGCCTTCTATTGCACCCAGGCACAGTGGATACTGATCTCTCTAGGCCATTTCAAAGAAATATAGCTGAAGGCAAGCTTTTCACTAAGCAGTTTTCAGTGCAGAAGCTCTTAAGTATCATCAATGGTGCTAAAAGTCATGATAATGGCAAGTTTTTTGCCTGGGATGGTCAAGAAATCCCTTGGTAATAGGTGAAATCTTTTTAAATGGAATTCTTCGATCAATTTCTCAAAGTTTCTTTGTCAAAATCAGATGAAGATTCAGTTGAGTGAATTGTATGTGAATTAACTGGCTATCAATAGCTCTTGATGCACATTTGAATTTGTTTATATGTTTTGTGAGTAGGGTTGTAAAACAAACTAAATTATTTGAGCCTAACTTTAAAATTCGATTGAGATTGACTCATTTTTTAAACTAGTTAAATTTGAACACATTTTAAAATGTGTTAAGTTTTCAAATTAAATTTAAATATTATATTACTCAGCATAATAATCATATCATATATGTAGTATGGCACAATATGCAATCAATCAAGAGTGATTTGATCAATTTTTAGAAAATTTTGATTTGCCGATTACTTGATCTATATATGAATGGGGTTCAATTTTCTTGTTTTCTTTAATTTTGCAGTGTTAATTAAGGAGCTGTCTTATTTGGATTGCTTCTTAATTGGCTTAGAGTTTCTCATATTTGTAAATGTAACGGTTAAAAGCCTTAGTACTATTCAGTTTATTATAATTAATATAGAATTCATTTGAAAGAAATTTCTAACAATCTTAGAATTTAACAGACTTATAGAATAGGAGTAGTAGGTACTCTGGTGACTACAGATTCAAGTTTTCTCATTAACACAATATGACAATATGGGGGATGAGATGGGAAGTGAAACAGATGAATTGTGGTGTACCCTCTTTAGACACTTAGACAACTAAAATGTAGGGCGACTGCTTCTGTCTGTCAGTCTCACACATATGTAAATAAATGCATACACGCAAGTGATACTTAGCTGAGGAAACCCTAATGGATTCAAAATCTCTTATTATATGTCATTTGAAGTGGACAGTTTGTTGAGACATGAAAACCACATGACTGAACTGCCATGCATACCATCCCCCTAGCAACCAAACCTATATATCTATCCTATCTATTAACAAAGAGAATATTACTTATATATATATATATATATATATCCTCCAATTAATTCGACCAAGCATTTTGATATTGTATGTCATTAGCAGGTACTCACTCTCACTTAGTTTTTTTTTTTATTTTTTATTTTTTATTTTAACTAATTTGAGCTTACATTTTCATTTTTGTCTGCGACTGATGTTAATTTTGAATTTAATCTCATTTTTTAAATGTATATATAAAATTTTAAAAAAATAAAAAAAGAGTTAATAACTAGCTCCAGAAATTGCACCAAATTGGGCTTATACTTGCTTCTATACTGCTAATTAATTTGGTTCATGAAGAATTTTATTACCAATCATATTTTGTAATGGGTTAATCTTCAGCATTTGATATCATCCGTACGCTTGGCATTTGGCAGAGTGACAACAGAAATTAAAGGAGGCAGAGAGAGATAGGATAGAGTAAAAGAAGGGCAATATGCGTGTAAAGCTAATAAAGGCAGTTTCGGGAAAAGTCATTCTCATGCTTTGCATTGCAAGCTCTTAATATTATTTATTGCTTTTTAATCTTAATATTATTTACACCGTGCCTTTAGGCACGGGCATACGCTAGTATATATATATATTAACCAATCTGATGAGAGTAAAAATAGGTAAGACACTTTTAAAATTTTCAAAAGTTATTTTTGTTCCAAAAAAGATAACATCATATAAAAATGATGGGTGTTTTTTTTTTCATTTATAACATATTTTAATAAATTCAAGGAGGCACACAAGAAAATTACTGGAGAATAAATTATGCAACAAAGTACAATTACATAAATCGAAGCAGAAATAGGTATTATCTTTACATGTCAAGGATATATAAAAAAGCATGGAGATCTTTAAAGAATGTTATAGAAAAACTTGAAGTCAGTGCAAAGAAATCAACATTATTGTTCAACATAGATGAGACTGTAAAGTTATAATTTTTTATTTGAAATATTTTTAGTTAGGTTACAAATTGTTGTTTTTATTGTATTTTGTTAATTTCGTGAATATTGTATTTACATTATATAAATGAAATTTTATTTTCTTGCATATAAAAGAAAATGATTAGAATAATTGATGTTGTAAACTTTTTTATTTTTTTATTTTATTTTATTTTTAATGGCAGTCACAACACCACTGAATGTGGCATTTGAGTACCAACCAAAGTGACAGTAGTAAGAAATTTGGTGGCATTCAAAAAGCCACAAAATATATACATAAGTGCCACAAATGGTATCTAAAATGACACTCAAAGTGTTGGTATTGTGGCACTTATAAATGCCACTAACCTAGAGTGACATACGTATCAATTGCACTTATTAAAAATACCATTATAATAAAAATGGGAGATTGACCAATAAATTCTAAATGTTGAAATTGTGATCCTAATAGTCCTGAGTTTTTTTTTTTTTGATGTTCCATTTGGTCTTATTGGATATGCAATGACAAATTTAATATTTTGTTAGGTGTTACAGTGGAAAGAAGTAGGTGTCATAGTGAGAAAAAGTATACTATAGCCTTTTTAAAACCTTCCTTTGTTATAGAACATGCCACATCAGCACTGTCCCAACCTTTCAAGGGGAAAAAGTACACTATAGCCTTTTTAGAATCCTTCCTTGAGGTGGAACATGCCACATGCCACAGCAGCTGGGTTTTATTGGGTGTTACAGTGAGGAAAAGTGAGTGTTACAGTGGAAAAAAATACACTATAGCCTTTTTAGATCCCTTTGTTTTAGAATCATTCCTTGTGGTGGAACATGCCACATACCGCATCAACTAGGTTTGTGTTGGGTGTTACACTAGGAAAAAGTGTGTCACAGTGGGAAAGGTTAAACCGTCGAACAAAAATTACTAAACACTCAAAGAGTGCTGCTATTAGCACCCCATCAATTATTTTGGATTCTCCATCTCTTTAGACCCCTACTTATAAATTCTAAAACCTTTAAAATTTCTTTTCTTTTCCCAAATAATACCAAAATTATCTTTCTGAAAACACTCTACCCATTCAATTAAATGCACACCCGCACACCCCAAAAAGCCTCTCTCCCAAAAACCTTAACAAAACCCACAAATGTGATTACTACTTTATCTCCATATACTTGTTCATGACCTCAAAAAATAATTGTAGGGTTTTTTGTTGTTGATTCAAAATTTTCCTTTTGTGGGTTCTGCGATCTCTACGAGTTTGGATTTTTGATCTCTCAAGTGGGTTTCTTTGAATTCTCTGACAGTTTCAATTCTTATTCATTATCTTACCTAGGTTTTGTGGCTATCTATTCTCAAAAAAATAAACAATGTTCGGGTCTGTGTTCCCGAATTTCGGTCATATATTTTGGAGTTCATTCCGAAAAAAATGACAAACAATTTTTATTATCTTTGCCAATTTTTTTAAGAAACCTACTCTTACAAGGCCAATCTTCTCTCTCGTTTCATGTAAACTTTTAGTCATTGTCATTGCCGAAAAAGTGTAGCTAATCGAATAGTTACCACCGTTACCGTTGGAATATTGCCGCCAAAGGGTTTCAAGGTTTTGAAGGTGAGTAGGTTTTGAATGTGTGATTTGAGAAAGATGGATAGGTGGTGATGGAGGTCAGTACTCTTATAAATCCTAACTCATGAAGTAGTGAGTATGTAAGTTTAACTGTGAGATGGGGTATCTCAAAATTATTGATATCATTTTTAGTACTTTCATTTGAGATTATTATTGTAATAAAAAAAATGAGAAGCCTAAAATAATTGATGATTGTTAATAACAGCACTCCACCAAAAATAAGATTTTATAGTTATATTGTCAATATTAACAAGATTTATTAGAGCAATAAATATATATATATATATATATATGACTAATTTTATTAATACATAAATCATACTCGCATAACAAATGACCAATTTTATTAATAATAAATCATTAAGTAAATTAATAATTTTTAATGATATGAAAAATATTTTTTAGTTAACCATTTTGTTAATAAATAAATCATTAAATCAATTAACAATTTTTAATGATATAAGAAATTTTTTTTAATAAATAATTTTGATAATTTTTTCCTTGAGTATTGTGTTAAATTAAAATTTATAACAAGCGATAGTTGTAGTTTTTAATATTATAGGACTGATTCATATTTTAAACAAATTTTTTGAGTGTATTTATAATTTGTTAAAAAATAAAATATTTGTGTTTCATAATTAACCAAGAATGTTTGCGTAATTATGAAAAAAAAACATGTTTCATAATTGACTAAGAATGTTTGCTTAATTACAAAAAAACTTGTTGCATAATTGACCAAGAATATTTGCGTAATTACGAAAAAAATCTTCACTCAACATATAAGCCACCATTAGTAAATTATTCAAAATGAAAAGACAAAATCAAAAAGAAAAGATGAATCCCAAACAATTAAGCGGTTCTTATATATATAGATATATATATTATAGATAATATATATGTTTAATTTTTTGTTATTATAAATATGATTGATTGAGTTTAAAATACCAATACGAATAAATTTTAAAAGAAAAAAAAATAATTTACTAGCATAATAGAGGAAAAAAATACATAATCATATTCATGATTGTCACGCCCCAAAAAATATAATACAAATAATCCATTCCAAAAGATCTATGAATGTAATAGAAATGATATACTTCAATTCATCAGGGTTCGTGTTACAAAAGGTATTACATGCATTATACATTCATAAATGTTCATCCTGAGTCTACAGCATATAACACTAGTTAAAAGCAACAAAATGGATGCCCTACGAGCTTACATCTTTCCAAGATATAACTTGGTTACAACAAAAGAGAGTCATAAGCTCTATACATTTAAAGCCCTTAGCTTGAATAAACAATTAAACACAAGAGTAACAAAAATACAGCCTCCAGCTCCTAAGTCCTCCCAAGCTACGTCTTTGGAGGAAGCATATCACTTGCACCTGAAAATGGTTTCCCAAGTAGGGTCAGCCAAAACCCAGTAAAAACAATCTATCACAATATATGAGGTTTAACTAAGATATGAGTGTCAAGTGTATATATGCTCAACACTTATAACCAAAGCATATTTACTTCACATGACTACACGATTCCAACATTCGCATTTAGATCCATTCCAATTTATTCAGTTCATATTTGTTCATTTCATTTCAACTCATTGGCCAAATTTACAATTCTCCAAATAACCCAACTGAGATTTCAACTCAGTGGTTTTCAATCAACACAACAAACATATAAACACTTCAATCTTGCCATTTTACGAAAATTTCGTCCGT